ACTCCATGGTGTTGCAACCTGCTTAGTGAATTTTTCTAATACCTGTATTATTTCAGCAGTCAGCATTAATCTCATCTCTTTCCGTTTTTATTGAACAGACACCTTAACTCAAAGAATGATTATTACTATGGAGATTTCTAAATTGCTAGATCCATGAAGTCTACTTAACCTAACGTAAAAGGTCCCTTTATTCTTTCCCAATTTTCTCATTACAGAATGAGAACATTTTGGCCCGAACGATGACTGTATACATAAGCACAGATTTATTAAGTTTAGAGGATTTGTACTGTTGTTTTATAAAATGTTGTCAACTTGCAGTATGACTTTTTTTGTGATGAATAGCTTTCCCAGGCCAAAAAGCTAATGACATCCACAGCTTCCATGCCTCCTGCACACATGCGGTCCAAAAGGCCACAGATAATTTCTGTTGAATCAAGACCATAAAGAGAGAATGTATAATCATCTTTTAATGTATTTGGGAACTAAAGTACCTTAGTCCTTCATCAAAGGGAATGATAAAACCCAGAATTAATATGGCTGGACTTTAATTATTTCTGAGCACATAGTTACTCTTTAGCTAACTGGACAGGAGGTATATTATTTCTTTTATTTTGAGCAAAGGAAATCCATCTGTGGACATACAGTAGTCAACTATCAAGATTTTAAAATGCATCATGTTACTTCCTTAGCACTGATTGCAATACAAATAGAATAAATATTTGAATAATACTTTAAATAATGTAAGAGCTATTTTTAAATTAAATGAGTAGAGAGTTCTCTAGGAGTTCCTCCCGCACATAACATTCCTTTAGCTTTTGTAGCAAGACTGTTCATTGCCTTTAGGAGACATAAAATGCAGTAATCACTTCTTCCCAGTTTTAAACTGACTTAGGGGTCTACTTTCCCATTAGCATTAATGAGAGTTATGGGTATGCAGCAACATGAGACTAAATGAGACTGAACCTTAGAGAGCCTCTTGATAAGTAAATCATCTTTGCATCAGCATTTTAGAGGCTTCAGTATCCTTTTTTCCCCTCATTATTTATGGTACCTGACTACTTTGTTGATGTTTAATATTTATTACATAAACTTGAGCTAAAATTTAGGCCAGCGCAATAAAGCAGCCTATCTATTTGAAGGCTTATGTCTTGAACACAGTAAAATGGTCTTTTTCTAATGGATGCCCATTTTTGTAAGTGAAATGCTCAAGGAGGAGGAATAAGTGACCCTTCATGAAAGGTGAAGAGAAGCTACAGTGGAACCACAGTGGGAGGTAATTGTGGACCAAAGACTTTTGGTGATCATAATTCTGTACAATGTATACTCTCTTGGTTCCTAGTCCATCATATCCTAGTATTTTAAAATTTAGTTTCTGTTACCTGTAAAGAATATTAAAATGATGGAAGAACCCTAAAGAATCATATATTGAATAAACAGTCAGGGCTAAAGAACTATATATCTAGTTGAGGGAAACATTTAATTTACAAAATCATAAACTCTCTGTATAATATTAATTCAAACCTGCAGAAAATAACTGCAAATTATACACTTACTAAGCAATTTCAGTCCTGATTTATTTTTTTCTTAAAAAGGCCATTGCTGTTACTTTTTTGTAGGCTCTTTTCATAATATTTTATTTTGTTAATCTGATAGTGATTTCACCATGTTTTCCTGTATAAGGACTCAAGATGTCAGTCCTTTATGATCATACAGATACAGTGATGCTGTTAGTCAGTGTAGTCTGTCATCAAGAATCAGAAGGAAAAGCAATTTCCTACTGATTTTAGAATAAGAATTACTTCTGAAATGGGTGGAAGTCTAATCCAGAATTTCTCTTAATACTACATTCATGGTTTCAGAAAATTTCTTCAGCAGCCTTACAGGAAATGGGTAACACAAAATATATATGGTCACGCTCAGAGTTCTGCTTCCTCTTTGAGGGTTCAAGATTGAACCATTTGATGTTGCTGTTTGCCATGTTACACGGCCATGTGCACAATGAGTCCTGAGCTGATGTTTCTTTTGGGGATTGCAGAGCCATTTAGAAACACAAGTTTCACAGCATCCCTGAATGTATAGTAAAGTACAGATAAGAGGTAGGCAGTTTCACACCTGGTGCATGAAGACCAAACTCAGCTTTGGTTTCTAGACCTCAGAGAGCATTGTAACTGCAGCAAGCAGAAAATCAATTTTGGTCTGTGTTTCTCTAAGCTAGCTGCTGCTGCTGTGTAATGAACGTGGTCCATTATATTTGCAGATCGGAGGGACCTTGTGACAGAATCATGTCTCATCTCTCACTTAACAAAATATTGTTGGTGGTGCATCTACCACATGTCTCCATCAGGGATGAGTCCTCCTGCTTAGGGGATGTGGCAAGCAGAGCACCTGTATTGTGAAACAGATATATAGCTCTATTAGAAAGCACGGTTAATCTATGACATCTTAAAAATAGGTTGGTCCCTTTGCAAAAGGAACTGTCAAGCACTGGAACAGGCTGCCCAGGGAAGTGGCTGAGTCACCATCCCTGGAGGTATTTAAAAGGTGTGTAGATGTGGCGCTTAGGGACATGGTTTAGTGGTGGACTTGGCAGTGTTATGTTAATGGTTGGACCAGATGATCTTAAACGTCTTTTCCAACCTAAATGATTCTATGATTCAGTGATTATAAAGGAGGTGGTCTGATTTTTTTTTTTTTAATGGCTTTCAGAGAAACTTATAACTGTATAAATACTAAAATGACCCAGGTTATTTTTAATAGCTAGCCCCAGTTATGCTTTATGATGTAAAACCAGAGTTGGTATGAGATCAGTCATTTGCATTGAGTTGTTTGATGTGCTATGTAACTGGTGTTGAGATCTGGAACCATGATCTACCCAAAATACTTCACAAAGGGCAGCTGTTAAAAAATGGTAACATTCATTGTCTTGCTTTCATCCAGAAAAGAAATCACCCCTCTCTGTGCAAGTTATTTGGAGAAATGTGTGTTGTTTGCCTTTCCAGATGCTACTTTGTTCCTTTCTGGTGACTTTTAAAAATTTAAAAGATAACAAGAAGCCATTAAAAATGTGTACGTATATATATCTTGTGGCTGTGTCTGGCTTTCCATTAACCGCATAATTAACTGCTCTGTTAAGTGCATAGCTCTTAATTCTTAAATTAATTCTTCCTGTCCACCATGCTGAAAACCCACCATAAAATTATTGTTATTCTTTGCATACATCTTTTACTTTTCTAGTTTTATTCTTTCAGAAGTAAAGTTGCTATGGTATGGGAATGATGAGCAGCAAGACATTTGAATGTGTGCATTTGGATAGGGTCACATTATCTAGATACCATATATTGTAAAGATTATATTCAGGGCTTGTTAAGAAAAGCTTTTGCATCACTAAGGCTCTGTACTAAGAATGATTGTTGCAGGTATGGCTATAAAAATGCTCGTGTTTAATTTATGATGTATAATTCTAGTGTTCTGTATTTAGAATGAGTTTAAAACTATACTCCTGACTGACGCAGTAATTAAGGTATTCAGCTTTGGTTTTCAGTAATATGGTCCAGTTCCTACATTCACAGTTAAAATCTCATGGTACTTCATGGGTGGTTTCTGTTTCTCACATCCATGCACCTGGTACAAACATCGTATGAATTTTTTTTTAAATGCATCACTCAAATACATGGTATTTTGCCTGTAAACGGCAGGTTTAATGCTGAATGACTAATATCCTGTAAAATAACAGAGCTAGAGAGAGCTTTTTAAATAGGAATGTTTTAATAGTCCATAGTGCTTAGAGTTAATGCATGTCTCTTGCCTACATCTACTGCAAATATCAACACATACTGTTCATCTCCTTTTTGTTGTTGTTTTTGTCTATTGCTATTTTATGCATGAGAAAGTTCTTGTTTTCTACTCTGTGCTTGGCTGGCTTTTTCTTTTTTTGTTACTTAGTGCTGTGTTCGTACTGATTGCTTTTTTGCATGCAAATTACAGAATGTCATGGAAATGAGAGAGGTCTGAAAAAAAAGGAAAGATAATGCTGAGTTCCAACTGTCTTTTGTTTGTGCGTAAGTGTGTAAAATATATGACGTGGAAATATTTTCAGAATGGCCTTTGACTTTCCTTCTGGTGTATATTTTTATTACTCAGTAAAAGAGTGGGCATATTTCCCACATAAGATGAATCTATTAATACTTGTTAATAATACAGGTGCTGGGCATGAGAGAATTTTGTCTTGCCATCCATTTATAGAAATAAGGAATTATGAAGTTGTGCATCTTGCCCAAGCTAAAATTTCAATTCTATATTTAATACAACTTTTGTATACTGTGCACACAACTCTGGCCCCATTGAAATCAATGGCAAAAATAATTTTCTTCAGTTGGTCTAGGATTTCACTCTGTTTTCTAGTTTACATGTGGATTTTCATGTTTCTTTACAAATATCTCAGCAGGCAGTCAAAGGTTTCAAGGAAAAAAAAAAAAAAAAAAAAAAAAAAAAGCCAAATCCATGTTTATCTTTTGTAAAGCATGAGCTTAAATGGTTGAACTTAGAAATGTGAATTAGCCTTTCACAGAAAATACTGTTTTAACCAACTGTCAAGACATTTATTAGCCACCTTACTGCATCAAATGCAAGAGGTAATTTGGCAGTTCTTGTCTCCACTATTTATAATAGCAACAAAAACCAATTTAAGTGGATAAATATAGTTGATGGTGGGTATGCTTTTAGTAAACAAGCTTTGATTCTTCATTTAAAAACAATAAAGCACTGGGCACTCTTTGTTTCTTGTGCTAGATGTTTCTAATAGCCATACCCCCTAGGGAAGATTTTGCTCTAATGTTTGAAAAACGTAATGAAAAATTGGTTGTTATAAACTAAGATTTCCCTCCCTGCAAATGTTTTTCTTGAAACATCCGTGGGAATTTAATATTCACTGTTTTTTTTCCTCAGTCTTGTATATTCTTGAATTGTCTTTTTTCCTCCATTTTCTCCGTTCTCAATCCTAGGTCCCCTTACAAAGAAACAGACAGATGATTTAGGTGATAATGACGGTGCTGAAGATGAAGGTATTTTTTTGCCGCCAAACTGATTTGCATGACAAGGATCCCTGAAAAATCTTTTTTCTCCCCTCTTTTTTTGACTTCTTGTCTTCTTTTGAAGAGTTTTTTTTTTTTAATTCCCATTTTTGATGTGTTTTGTCTTCTTGCTTGTTGTTATATATATTTTTAATTTTTTAAAAGAAAGAATGTTGTTAAGTTCTACGTTTTGATACAAAACAGTAACAATATTTAAAGAGGAGGGTTTTTTGTTTTCTTGAAATGGACTTTTGATATGTTGCATCCCACCTTTTGACTGAATTTTGTCCATACTATTTAAACTAACACTCTTTTAAAGTTTCTCTGTACACCTTTTTGCATGTTTTCTAACCCTATGTATTTCACGAAGTACAAAGATGTTTCTTTTTTTCACTGACTGATCTCAGTTTGATAAACATATAAAATGTTGTCTTTATAAAAGGAAAAAATATAGAAAATTCCTAGAAAGTGTCTCTTAAGCAACTGAATTTCCCCAAATATAAAACCTTCTTCACTTAAATTTCCATGAACAAATATAAATAAATGCAAGACTGTCCCACCTCCCTGTAGAAGAGAGGTAGCCCTGGAACAACAACAAGCAATATTTGCAGATGGTGAGGCTCTGTGCAACCAGGGAATTCAGTGGAGCTAAACTGTTGTCATCTAGATGAATCTGATCCATTCTGTTTTCTACAAGCACATAAAGATACATAGCTGCCTGTGCTGACCCTTAGAAAACCCTATTACCAAGTAAAATCAAAAGTTTGAAATGTCAAGCATATTATTCTATATATGAATTATGTCTGTTAATCATATAAGCTATGCAGATTTTATATTTTTTTTTCAGGGCTATGAAAATGGTAACAAGGGGCTCTTTCTCCTGAGCAGTTTCATCCCTTCAAGTAGATGTGCTTCAAAATTTCTGAATCTTAAATACACACTTTGTATATTTTATGGTCAGTGAGTAAAACAAATTACCATATAAGACTGGTAGAGTTGCTGCTGCTTCTGTTAATATCTGGGTTTTTCATTTTTTGCCAGAGACTAAGATGAAGCTTAATTTGTAAACTGCAAGGCCTTAATTAAGAAATTTTTCATCACAGAGAACATCAACTGTTTTACTCAATCAGAAACGTGCAATCTTCTCACAAAAGATGAAGGCAAATATGAGCATTTAACTTCTTACCCAATAACTGAAAAGGAACTTTACAAATAAGCCCATGAATTTATACATGTCTGATTTATGATCCTCTACTGAATGTGTATGTTAAGCATATGAATGAAATCCCACCAATTGGCCCAAGATTTGAAAGAAGAGCATAGCAGAAAATCTCCTTTGAAAGCCCTCGTATTATTCAGAGCTAAGCATGATAATTCAGATCCACTTAGTTCTATGAGGCCAAGTCATTTTTACATTAGTTCATGACAAAATATTGCAAGGGACATTCTTGTGTATTCTCCAAGACCTGTGATATTGAATTAGCCATTGTAAAAGTTACTCTGTCTTGTTTTAACAATATGTTTTAAGAAACCATTTGAAACCTGGGTTATTCATCCCGTGGACCTTAATGGTTCTCCTAAATTGCTGTATAATTGCCAAGACAGATGCTAATGGCTTAACATTTCTTGAGCCCTTCTCTGCTTAGAGACACGTAGAAGAGACTACTCAGTTTGTTAAAATCCAGCAGAGAACGATTGCTATTAGAAAGCAGTTTAGTGTGTAGAATCAGATGAGAATAGGGATCTCAGTCTTTGGAGAACAAGTGTCCATGTCAGAAAAAACCTGTCTCCCACATCGACAGTTGTAGGAGAGAGAGAAAGGACTGTAAGAACACAGCAGTCAAACTACAGGGGAAGAAACACATTTACAACACTAATAAATCTCTGTAATTTATAGGACTGGGATTAATTTTCTCTGGCATACAAATGACAGTTTTGTTCTCCTTTCCGTGCCAGTAGAAGAATGCAGGCAGTAATTAGACTTTTACTGCTTCCGAGAGTCACAGAGAGACAGGGCAAATTTAAATTTTTTATGATCAGTAGGCACGGAAGGCTGCTGGGATGTCTGCTGGGTTGGTAAGAACCCTGTCTGCTGAGGCCCTGCATTTCACTGTCCCTCAGTGCAGGAGCAGTATCAGATGACCTGCATTTTGTGAACCTGCTCCTCTGCATTGGAACTTTAGTACTTGTTGCATATGCAGAACTTGAAGAGTTCACAAACATCACATCATACTATTTGGCTAGGAGTAGCAGGAAAGAGACAAAGCATAAAGCAACTGTAGGTGTCTAGATTTGTGCTAACCTGTCCATCAAACTCTTCACCTTTTGCAGTAGGGTAGTTTTAATCAATATAAAAAATCTACAAATGAATAACTAGGGATAAAATAAAACAAATACCAAACTGAATGAATGATGATCTTGGAATATTAGGGGAGACTGGGCTATACATATTTAAAACCAACTGTGTCATAAAATTATAGAATCCATGCTACTGTGATTTCTGAAATGCCCAGGATGGGCTCTGTATTAAGAAATTCAGAGCTCCCTTGTCCATTTCTTGGTTTATACCTTCCCTGAAGAAAGATCTTTCATAGCAGCTTCTTGGATCAAATGCCTGGAAAGTATTCTGTATTGTGTCACTCAAACATCAGAGTTTGATTAGAAGATTTCATTTTAAAACAGTGTTCAATAATCCCACTTCCATCTGCTGCTATATGTCACTACAACAGTAGCGTGGTCCAAACCTTGCCAGCACAAGCACTGGAATCAGTAATCAAACTTGGATCTCTGATACGTGCCACAACCGGTAGACCAGGCTTAATTAGATCATTTTTCATTTTTGTTTTCAAAAGACCCAGAGGCAGTAGTGCGCATTACCAGCTAATGATCTGCAAATTTGCTGTTTAAAAAATGAAGGTGTTTTCAAATTCTATGAGTGTGAAATGTGCAAAAAGTCAGAAATTATATGAATGTCTTCCCCCCGTCTGGATACATTCTTGTTTCTGTTTAACCCTTTCATGCCTACACTTGAAATTGCTTACCTCTTTTTCAATCCATATTGAACTACTTGAGCTGGCACCACAAACAAGGGTGGCAAAAGCACCTGCAACCAGTGAGCATTGGGGCTTTCCCTTTTCACAGGCGTGGTGGATTTGACTATTTGTTGACATGCAGGTAAGCAATATCTAGTGTAGACACAAGATTTAAGTCACCCAGCAGTCGAATAAACTGTATCTTCCTCAGTCTAGAAACGAGGCTTAGTTTAAAAAAGTAAAATGTTTTAATCTTAATATTTAACCTCAGTCTTAATTTTGGTAAGGTAATAAATTAACATGATTTAATTAGGCTATAGCAAAAAACAATGACTCTTTATGCACCCTTAGTTCCTATGTGCTAAAATCCTTAGCGTGACTTAAAACAGAGCAACACAAATCATTAGTCAGACTATGTACTCAGGGATCAAAACTGGACTTCTAGGTAGTTAATGCTGTATGAAATATCCATGACGGATTGCTCACAAATGAATTCTTCTCATCCACCGTTCTGTCATACACACCTTCCCTAGCACATCAGTCTGTCAATCTTAGATCCTTATTTAGTCCCCAATGCTATTTGAGCATCTCTCAGTTTTTAATGTATTCGGTCTCACAGCATCCCTCTGAGATAGAGGAATGCTATTCCAATTTTAGAAAGGAGGAATACAGACACTAAGTTTGAGGAATGCAGACACCATGTCTATAGTAAAGCAGGGAACTGAGAGTACATGCCTCAGAAGCAGGGTCTGCACTGTAATTGCTAGATGTTTCTACTCATCCCGTCTCCATTCCAATCTCTCCTGTGAAAATGGAGACAGATTAGGAACAGATGTTGCTGTTTGTTCACAGGCTGTAACGGCGATGATTCTGATCATTTAGTCTGATGCTCTGTCTTATATGGGCTATTGGACTTCATTGACTGAAGGAAGGTCTTGGTCCAGAGCATGTTTTAAATCAAAACAAACAAAAATCCACTCAAATTTTAAATTGCTAATGATGCAGAATGCATCTGCAAATCCCTCCTTATGCTTAACAGCCTAGTGTCATTGGCGCAAAGAGCACATTTCAGAATTGAGGATCTTCTCCCAAAACCCTATCACTCCATTAGTATTAAAATAGATGAGGTTGCCAAGTTTAGCATTTCATCTGCTTTCAACTGTCATGGTAAGAAATAGGGAGAGAAACAATCTTTCCGTCTGGCTCGAGTTATACATTTTCGGACTTCAGAGATCAGTAAACAGCAGAACACATTTGTCTACCTCACAAAGCAACCACATGCTCCAGCCTTAATTATAGCCTCTAATGAGCTCCAGCCAGGCTGGAGCAGCACAGATCTTAGCACTTTGGGTGAACTTGTTGACTGATACACATAGACAGATTCAGGATTCCTGTTCATCCTGTCACCCATTCATGTTACTTCTGTGATTCCAACTCCCAAGTACAGCTTCCAATGTCACTTGCATATTAAATTTTGCCAATTATATTTTCCCTTCACACTGAGAACCTCAGTTCAGATTATGTTGGATTTTTGTGGTGATGTTACTAATACTTGAAAACGTGCATAATAAAAATTCTGACAGGACTTTAATTTAAGCACCTCTTCAGGGCTCCATTATACTTTTAGCCCTGCCAAGCATTGCTTGTACAGTGAAGAGTCTGTCAGCTTTTGCATTTCTAACCATCATCTTTCAATAATTTAAAATTACTACCTACCTGGCTATTGAGATCCTATTTAATGAGAATCTGCTCCAGCTGTTTACCTGTAAAAGCATAGGCCTTTTTTAGTGTTAGAATATATACAGTCCTCCATCAGGATCTCAAATCACTTTCAGGTAAAGGTAGTTAAATGTTTGAGAGGGCACAAAATGATCCATTGTTTTGACAGATATAAAAACAAACAAAAAGGAGATGATTCTATTTGTCTGAAACTTGATGGCTGTATATCAAAATATGAAATGTATCTAGAACCTCACTGCTACTCCTAACAGAAGTTCAGTAGTTACTTTAGTAGTCTCAGGACACCTAGTTCTATATCACATGCTAAAAACATGTCATTAATGGATGTTTACATATTAGCACCACTAAGTGCATTCAAATAGCTTATTCAAATAGCAATGCATCTGTGAGACATCTGATAAATTCGAACTGAAAGGTAAAATACTGTTAAAAGGTTTTTAAATGATTAAGAGTTGCACTGATTGGTACCATGCTCTACTTAAATATTTTAGGACAAATGTTTATGGAAGAGCTACACATATATCCATATAATATTCTATGTAAGGAAGCTTATGGAGGAGCTACGCATAGATCCATATAATATTCTATGTAATGAACACATAGATTTTACAGTAACCACTCTGAAAGTTTTCCACTGTACTTGTGCTGTTTCACATTCAAAAAATAAGATTTACTTAATACTCCGCCTCAAGATGTCACAATTTTTAATAGAAAAAAATTACTTGTGACATCTGTGCTAAACTAATTATATTTTTGTGCTAAGTTGTCTCCAGGTAGGCTTTCTTCCTTTCCCATTTTGGTTGTTCCCTGCAAATTATACTTGTTAAGTCACATGGCCAATTCACATCAGCTTCAAATGACTGAAGCTATAATTATGTTTTGTTATATATGACAATTGTGACTGGTATTCACAGACCCGATTCCCTGTTGTGTGGTTTAACAAACATGGAATAAAAGACAGTCCTATTCCTAAATTGCCTGTAATGTAATTAAGACCAGACATAAAAAGTAGATTCAACAAACATTAGAAAGGAACAGAAGAGAGGAGATGATGGAAATTGTAATAAGAAAGTTCACGTATATGTCATATAAATAAGATAATTCTCTGCTGTACAGTAAGACCTACTTAGATGTTTTGTGAACTAGCAATTTAAAGCCAAACAAATCACAGCACTCAAAACTTATCTTCTGTGTGAATAAAAACAGAATGGAATTGAATTTGAGAAGGATTTTGAACAGCACTATCCCTGCATAGGTCTTTGAAAATATTAATATGTCTGGTTTTTAATTAAAGCAACACAATAAAATGCAACTAAACGTACAGGAGTAAATTAAATCAGTATATAAATCTACACTTGGCAGAAATGCCACATTTTCACCCCAGTTCTTCAGGTTCAGAATGAACTACTTCAACAAGTAACTATTAATCTGCATCCATGAATGACAATTAATCTGTGTGAGAAATTGTAGCTACAGTTTACTGAGACCATCCAGCACATGTGCACAAAGGATGGATACCAGCCTGTAGGAAAAGATGAAAGATGTATCAAATCATTTATGATCAGGTTTTGAAAAGTATTTGAGTGCCAAAATCTCAGTTATTTTCTTTGTTGAGTTGGACACTTACCTCCAATAAGCACTTTTGGAAAGTGCATCTTTCTGCCACTTTTGCACCAATACAGAATTTCTCATCACAGTAGTATCTTGATACTTTTTCCATTTTAATTTCAAAGGATGATAGTTTTCATGGGGGAACACTCACTCTCAGGTAGGAATCAGTTCTTGATTGTGGTCTGATCTTTTTCAATATTTAATGGCATCCACTAGTCGATGACATCTGCATTTAAGCAGCACTCTCCCAGCTGAATATTTGCACCTTTCAAATAATCCTGGCTATACACTGCAGCTGATAGGAAAGCACCAAAATACAGTGATCTCTGTACTGACCTGAAGAGCTCCATAGCTTCTATATAATCCCAAAGTCCCACTAGGTTCAGCTGAATGCTGCATAACCTCACAGATGTCTCCAGTACTAGATTACTGCCTGAAACAGAGAGGCACCATTTTTCTTTTCTAGAAGGGATTTCTCTTAAGACTGATGACTTTGGCGAAGCAGCGTGAGGAAAATTCATACTGCATGTCATCTGCTCTGACATGGCACATAGGCAGAGCTAAAAATTAGTCTTTCTTTATCTGTCTGTAATCTTTACAAGAATATTGGTAGTAGAAAATAGCAAAAGCATGGTATAAACAGAATTTACTCAAATAATCACTTCTTTATATGTCAGATTTCACTCATGAATGTGTGCTTCCTTTTCCAGATAAAGGACACCCATTCTTTTCTAACTGTTCCAGTATTATTTTCCAGATAAACAGACCAGTACTACCAACATTTCATTACTGTTCACAGTTGGTGCTCTATAATTCTATGTAATTTTAATTAAAGAAGAATTCTGAGACAGTCTCCCCCTGTGCTACCACCAAGCATACAATTAACTATGTACAATTTCTGCTGGGAACAGTCACACAGTGATTTTAGATTAATAATTTATTATTGCTTCCATATTTGTACCCAAAAAAGAGTATAGACTATGAACAAACCATCTACTGAAAACGGTATGTGAAATTGAAAAGACTTTTTCCTCAGTGTAGATTTTAAACCTCAGGAGCTCATAATTCTATCCTATGGACAATGAAGATAAATAATCTCTTCAGTCCCACACTCTGAAAATTGCATGTTGGAAAGCCTCTACTATATTCTTAAGTGAGGAAAACAATACATACAAATAATTTCATGCACAACCTTTCATCATCCTTTTGGTCTTAAATGATTGCTCTAGTACTTCCAATATTGGAGATCCAATTTCTGATCTTGACTGGTCTGGCATTTTCTTCAAATTAGAATCAATATAAAAATAATAATAGCAACTAGCTTTCTATAAACAGAGACATCTACGCTGATCTTTTTCAGCAAATTCAAAAAGCAGGGCTTTTAGTGTAACTGCCCTCACCTAGTAGTCTTTACAGTGCTTCAGAAACAATTCGAACAATTTTACAGAGAGCTTACTTGAAAACTTCTTAACAAAAATTCCTCCAAATCAAAGGAGTAAACAATACATGTGAGGTTTCTTCAAATGCTGAAGGGAGTAATCAGGGAAGTCACTTGAATGCTGTCATAATGACAAAAAAAAAGTCTTCACATCAGAATATGCAGTACAGTTTCTCATTGGGAAGTTTTCATATGATCTCTTGCTATTGTCTTTCTTGACTTTTAGGGACTATTATGGAATATTATGACTTGGCCAGTGGAAAAGACTCAGGCACTTAGTAAAGGAGATCAAAATACAATTTAATCCCGATGTAAAAGTTTAAACTTACACCTTAGCTGATTTCTTTCCTGTCCAACAGAAAAACCTTTTAAAAACATATATGATCCCACCACTAACTGTTGGTACTTAAGAACAACTTTCTTCACAAAGACCAGTGGTGTTCACGTATTCAAAATTTTATTCTGAGTAGATACATTGATTTGCAAATAGGACTGTTTGAGGGGGAGGGATACCCAAATCAATGTCTTCATTAAAAAGGAACTCAAAACAATATGTCAATATCTAATTTTATTGTCTGAGAGAATAGCAGAGCTTCCTAAGATTTAAAATTGTTACCTGCATTCAGTGTCACTTTTGTGAGAACCTTACGATTTGTTTGAATGCATGCTGAGGATTTATAAGCATTGTTCCAGGCAGCTATTTTTCCAAATATACAGTCATTTTCACAATTTAGTAAATAAGAAGTACCCATGCACCATAAACTTCAGGCTACCCAGGTTACAAATAATATCCATTTGAGGTCTAAGAGTTAAACAGCTTCCAAGTACTTTTTGAGAACTTAGATTTCAAACCTATGAAAAGGCAGTGGTTTATACACCCTTTTTATAAATTATTGATCTTCCCGTACTGGAAGCAATCAACACTTTATGTAGGAGCAGAAATCTTGTTTATCTTAATATGGTGAATCGCCTTTAGCTAGGTGAACACAAAGATGGACTGAGCTTTCAGAAGCGTTCAGACTTTGCCTAAACGAGCTCACATTGATGTTAGTAGACGTTTTACGTCAAATTCAGCAGGAACAGAATCAGACCACTGTCCCACTGCATTTGAGCAAACATGTTACCATTTTCAGTTCCTTTCTGCTTTTTGAGGCCGAGTGTTTCAAAAATATGAACTTTTCTTACAAGCAAGCTACGAAGAAACACTTATGCCCACTTGCCTATTTCTTTATTTAAAAGATGTTGCTTGAGAAACACTTCAAGAAAAATAACCTCACTAAAAAAAAAATAAAATATTGCATGTATCTTTTTTGGTACTTTCTTGAGATAAAATGTGTCTTAATATTTTTTCCAGACATTCGGGACAGTGGGGGACCTAAGCCTGTGATGGTGTATATTCACGGAGGGTCCTACATGGAAGGCACTGGAAATTTATATGATGGCAGTGTTCTAGCAAGTTATGGGAATGTGATAGTCATCACAGTCAACTATCGCCTTGGGGTACTTGGTAAGAAGCTTTCAGCTTTCCATTAATCCCTGCTGTATGCAATGCAATTCATGTTGTACGTGAGAATGTATTAAAAACAAACAAACAAACAAAACCAAGCAGAAGAACAACAACTTTATTTTCTTTGTCAAATAAAAGGTTTGTATTCTGGTGATGAGGTATAACGACACTGCGATTATTATCTGGAAGAACCTGCTGTCATGCTTTTAGGGGTATGAAACAGGTATTCCCATTGCTGAGCCATTCAGGGAAGAAGAGTTTGGGTTTTTTTTTCAGTGAAAACCAGTGATGCTTTACTTCATGGATGGTTAAATTAGATTTTTTTTTTTTTAAATGTTAAGTCATAGACAATAGAGTTTTCTGTTGGAAAAAACAAAGTTCTGATTACTGTGATTTTTCCCCTTACTTTGAAATAATTAAGGAGACCGTGAAAACATCATTTAATAAGAGCTGTACTTTTTACCTATTTGTTTTGAGCTTCATTGTGGTTTTGAAAAGTGTTATGGGTATCATCCAAATACTTCCAGTATTTATTTTCTAGGCCAAATCAGAGTGTGAATAGTTACTTCTGATTGTTTCAAATACAGTGAATAGGATATGCTGATGCTGTTGGTGGACTTGTGAGGTATCCCTCTGGTAGCTTTTATTTCTAAAATATTGTACTTTGCTATTTGTTCAGTGTAGACACATTCATGATACAAGTTCACCAGCTCTTGAGACAATATGATTGTTGGTTTTTTGTTTCTGCATGTTCTACTGAAATGTTTCATGCCCTGAAAGTAGGAGTTAAATTCTGGGATATTATGGAGGTCAGTACAGTAACTTCAGAATGCTTACATAGGTGTAAGGGCATTATTTGAAGTGGCGTGATAGACCTGGTGTCATTCACAGCAGTGAGTTGGTTCTGAGGACCAGTCGACTTTATTTTCAATTTGTGGGCATTAGTGATGTCTGCTACTCAGGTTTTCTTTTGTGTGGTCATTTTATTTAATCATTACTCTGTTTCTTTGTGTTTTGAATTCAGTTAGCATGATCCCCAGATTCATCGGTTCTGGTTTGCTCATCTGGGTAATTTTCTTCCAACAGTTTCACTTTTGTTAAAAATTTGACACCTGAATACAATTTAGTTTTGGGGGGAGGGAATGGATTTTGACTTTAGATTTTGAAACTTGGTCTACTGTGGTTGCGTTTTACAAGGGACTAAATTTTTTCCAGAAAGATTTTTTTTTTTTTTCTGGATTTATCTTCTTAGTATCCAGTTAGAGGTTTCATTTGTGATATACTTCCAATATTTTGTATGTTTTTCTCCATCCTCCTGTCTTCCAATTTATACAGCAGCTTCAAATCCTGGGCACGTATTAGTGCAGCAGTTAATAATCTGTAATCTGTGCCTCTAATCTACATTTTAGTTTTACACCAGCGCTCTCATCTTTGATGTTTCAAACATTTGTCTATGTTATATGCTGCTAGGGTATTCTGTCCAGTAATACAGTATCTATTTAACTGAAAGCACTGTTTATTTTTGTAAATAATTTAGTCCAGTTCCTAAATCACTTGTACTTGCAGTGTTTGAATGGCTAGTTGCTCGCAAGATGAAAATTATTTCACCTTCATTGATGGTAATGGCTTTTCCATTTGTAATTTAACACTGATCCCTGAGGTAAAGCGCTGTTAACATCTCACTGAGCTTAGGAGGATTTCATTTGTGTTTGTGCTATTGTGGTTCTTTGGACTTTGTGGTCTTTACAGAGCCTCAAGGGGCAGAGAGCTAATTTTCTTTTCAGTGGGACCTATTAGAATAAAACCTCTAAAACTCACAGTAGAATCCAGTGATTCATATGAATACTTGAAATTACTTTCAAACTAACTAAAATAACTGTATTGGGCTTGCAGGGTTTTCTTAGTAACATAAATGCACATGTTAAGTATGTGTAGAAGTTGTTCATATATTTTGTACCTGGCACAGTGCCTGTCTGTCATGTATTAAATAAATAATGATGACATATCACTAAGTAGGTAGTGTAGAAACACACTCGTGATCAAAAAAGAAAATTTGCAGAGTTTTCATTTTTTCTGTCTTTCGTTGCTTCCTGGTCTTAAGATAGCCTCAGAGTAGAACTTTGCATAATCATAGTTTTACTTCTGCTGTTTTGAAACTCTAGTTCATCACTGTACAGCAGAATGTTACACTTTGCAGTCACATTAAATAAGATAAGGCTTTACAAATACATAGCTGACAAATTCTCAGCTTCCCTTGCCTGATTGTATCCCATAAGGTAAGAGGTCCAACTTCACTGTCCAGTCCCTGCAGAACACCTGGATCTTCACCTCACTGCTGTGTAAGATGCCTGGCTGTACAGGGAGAAGTAACTTAGGGGTTTCTTTTTTCACATGAGAAGATGTAGGGACAAAATAAGGTCTGTCTTCTCACTTTCATATGACCTTTATTGGTCTGGGTTTCTTGTATTGGTCTTGTGGATATATATCTTAATATAGGCATTCTCTGTGAGTTCTAGGAGATATGATACTGTTTCCGCCAAATTCACACTGTGACATTTCTTAATAAGGAAGCAAGTTAAATGTTTAGAGCCGTAACAGCAACATTTTCTTCCAGACCACTAGTGATAGAAAGGGAAGATATTCTGTGATGTTAGATTCCTAACAGTACTGTTATTCAGTCCACAGTAGACAGGTTTTGGTGCAATTGAGATTATTTTCCTGTTCATTCTGAGTTGAGACATCCTTTGTTTTATAGACTAATCTGCTCGAGGACTTGTGTTTTATGGAGATGCAAGCTTTGCTTCTGAATAAAATGTTAGAAATAGCTTAAAATTGAAATCCATTTGTAAAAGAGAAAACAATGATCAAAATTAAAGTAGTATGGGGCAAGTGCATTTAAAACCAAACAAAACCCCAGTGAGTTCCCTGGCCTGACTTTGTCTTTGAAACAAGTCTGAGTATGAAAAGTCTGTTAAAGTCTTTCCTTAGATCAAGGTAAGATAGAAAAGAGAACTGTTTGCTCTGGAAAATCAGGGACTACTGAATAAGAAGCCATTGGCCTTAGACTAATTACATCTTCTTTAGATTCTCTTTAAATGCAAGTCTTGTGCAAGCAATCTCATCCAGTGAGGAATACTGCACGAGTCGTCTAATACCTTTGAAGGACACTGTAGGAGTATGTGCAGATTTATTTTTATGGCTTCTTTTAAGGAAAGGACAGATATGAAGACAAGTTTGGATTTTGAACTCAACTAATTTGAGACTTCAAATGTTTATTTAACATATATCCATCTGGTAAAAAGCAGGAGCTTTTTATTTAAATTTCATAAAAGAAATGTAAAAGGATTATAAAAAGAGTCTATTTAACATCCAGAAAAGATCATGATAGACAGATTTAATAGTGCTGGTGCTGGTTTCTGTGCTCTTTCTTATGAAAGGTTGATTTAGAAAAGGAGAATGCTTTGGGCCATCATTGGCTGCTACCCCTTTTGCTCTTGAAGGGAGAGAAAGGAGAGAGATGGTTTATGCTAACTGCATAAACGTTTCTTCATTTTATTATTTTATACTTTGTGCTCTTGATTATCTTTTAACCACAGGAATTTAATAGAACTGAAAGAAACATTTTTAAATGCAGCTCACAAACTGAACTGGGGGATGGAAGAATGATTCACAGGATTCTCTATGTTAAGCACTGCTTTAAATTTCCCTTTTTTTTTTTTTGCTTTGAGACAATGATTTCCCCTATATAAACAGTAAATTCCAAGGGTCTGGGTTAAAAGGTGATAATAAAAAGGAAAAATTATGTGTATCTTGTATTTTCCATTTGAAATTCTGAATAATGTCTGCATTGTGAAGGCAAATGTTTGGTAACTGTAAAACTATCATTTATGCCAAAATGGAAGCACACCCATAAGTGAGATTGTCATAGTTATCTTTTCTTGAATTATAAGGAAGTTTCCTTTTTGAGGAGGGTAAAGGAACCATTGCTGTCATTTAGTCTTGTATTTATATTGTCACCCCTTAGTTGGAGGGTATTGACTGGGATTGCTGAGTAGAAAACACCTATCCAGGTATTCTGCCACTTAGATTTTTTTTTTCTTTTTTTTTTTTTTTCCAGTTTGCACTTTCAATGCTGAAAGTAAAGCCACTGCAGCACACCAACGGGCCTCAATCCTTACTCTTACTAGTACATTTTCTCCCAAATAACTGCACTGAAATCAGTGGGACTCACTGCTTCCCCTTGTGAGAGATCCTGGTTGCCCATAATTTGAAATAATGAAATGAGGAAACAGGGTACTAGAAAATTGCTAGTCATGCACAGAGCTTCTTCTGAAAAGAGCTATTCCTAGAAGAGGTCTGTTGTGTTTTCCATCCCAAACCTCAGTTTTTTGGTAGTGTGTCGTGTCAGCTGGTTGTGTTGGGCTGCAACATTCATGTAAAATAAAACTCAGAACAGTACAGGAAAACAGAACGCAGCAAAAATAATGTTGCAGAAGCCCTTTCTTACTTCCATCGAGGACTGTCAGAGCTTTGTGGATGATGTAGTGACAGAGGATGAGTCGTCTTATGCCTTAACATGTTTTGTTGCAGTGTGTGAGAACGCATTAGAAAAATACCTTACATTTGAATGTACATATTGCTTCTCTGCAGAATCATGCCAACCAGCAATATCTTATTGGCTAAAGAGGTATGTGAAATATAAGGATAGAGCCCTGCAGTATCTGTTGGGCAATCTGTGCCAAGCCCAGCATTTCTGCCATTATCCATCTTTCTCTCAGCAAAACATTGCCCATTCCCAACTGGTAAAAAATAATGCACAACCTTTCCTTTATGAGTAAGTTTATGCACGTGGGTTTGTTCCCCTTACTATAGCAATTCCAGAATGTAGCTTAGTGAACCTTTTCATGGGATGAAGAATTATCTAGCTGACCATTTGCAGGATTAAACAGAGAGATGAGAATATAATATAATGAAAACTAATTCAGAACAATTTGGGAATA